GGGGGGAGGAACCTTGAATGTGATCTTCCATGTCCATCGGAAGTTCCACTGATGATAGTTGCGGGGCGGAAATGAGACCTCATCTGAAGCTTTATTCAATGGTAACTGTGACTCGGACGACATCGTTGATGAGGTGGAAAAAGAGGTCGTGCTCGAACTTGGGCTAATGTTTCGAGATGACCATCGTTGATCAGCAGCAAACCAGGGGTCTAGTCTCCTCTTAAAAACTATGTCGGCTTGTGCTCCATCTTGAGTAATAGTCACCACCAAATACTCAACCTTAGTACCAATTCCTTTCCAGCCTCTAACTTGAGCAATATGACAACCCTCGGCATGCTCCATAGATTTATACCGGTTTGATATAAGATTCATGTAACCAAACGAGTTGAAACGACAGTCCGGCTCGCAAAACTCGACACCAGTGTATTCAGGGACAGGAGTAAAAGGCAATCCCAGTAGTTTTTTCGCTTGTGAAAAGAAGCGAGTGATAGTCGGGTGTTTGGAGAACATGTAAATACGGTGACGGTGGTTTGAGAGCCTCAAAATAATCGACTGCCACCTCAACCTAGTCGTGCACAGCCACATAAACTGTTTAGGGAATTCTCTCAAAACTGATTTATTCGTTTGTTCTGGTTAATAACTTTAAATCATCCAGACACTTTGTTCCCACACCTTGACAATATTCTGGTCTAAGAGTGCACAGGTTCGTGTGGAATTTGAAACAGCGTCTGAGCCATGCGTGACTATACTGACTGATACAACTTCCCCAGGCGCATCCTTCTTCTTTGGCGCGGGTGACCTCAAGCTCTGCCATTTCCTGCTGCGCCTTGCCATCTAATTCCACAGCCGTGCAATGTACTCGTAGATACAATCCCGCAATCTCGACCACATATCGTATTGGGAGTGTGCCTTGGCACAGTCATTATGGGAGGTAGGCGCTTGCGGAAGGTTGATAATTCCCTGAGCTTGGATACTTATTCAGTTTTGACACTTCATGTATGGAATTGGATGCTGAACGTAGGTTAAATAATGGCGCAAGATAATGTTTGGAGGTCAGACCGAGCGACTGACAAGAGAGTCGTTTTCAGTTTTGTCTGCAGACGTGACGGTTTCATGGGCCGTCTTCCTTTCCGGCTCAATGTCCGACGTACCTAACAAGGGCTAGGTCGCCCACACCTACGAGTCAACCCTACCAGTCTTGTCATCACCCTCAATGTAGGGATCAGGCCTCATCCAGTCGCTCGACTCTCATAGCGGTGTGTTGCAGACCCAGAACATGTTTGCTTCTCTTGAATGATATGGAAATCCAAGAAACGCTTGGACAGCTCAAACCGAACGCAGGACTAACAGGATTTGGTTAATTTGGTAGCTTCTGTAGGAGTCTAGTGCTCGATAGAGCAGAAGTCCAGTTCGCTACGTCTCCGGATTGTTCAATACTCGGTACACACATTGGCAAGCGCTACTGGAGAAGAATTGGGTGATAAAGGCAAGAACTTTGGGACTCCTGTACAACATAGCAGTTTCATAGTACAGTGTGAACGGAAAGACGTTTTGTTCCTGATAACACACTCACAGGTAATCGGAGTTCGGAGATCGCCTTGCAGGTTATCTTATCTTGCCTTGAATATTCTTTTCATCGTCACTTTATAATCTCCTTGTCTTTTCAAGATCAACGCCCGCGCGGCGGCGCAGATGGGATCCTGTTGCCGTCCAAGGTCGTGGGGAGTAATGTGCATGTGTGCAATGGCCACGCCGGCTAACAGTGCAAAGCATGATAGACGTCAGCGTCGGCTCTAGGTTGACATTGGATCGTTGGATCTCATCAGTGGCGCTCATGTTTGTTTTTCCAAGAAAACTCCAGTGGATCGCTGCAAAATCTTTGCTTGTCGCCACATCGATTCGGCATCTTCTCGACCACCAGCAACGACTGGGGACATCAAGCCCAGCCTTTGGCGGGTATAACACCCCACAACCGCACTCGTGGAATTGAACACAGTCCGTGTGCTCAACCTCCTGAGCAGCAGTACTCGCAGGGCTTACGGACCTTGCATAGAATCCGTCACAGGTTATGTATAACACAACCCACGCGAGCGCAATGCTAGCGGGTCATTCGGCTTTACCCCCGTTACTACGAGTGCCCCTGTACAGGAGGCGGGCTGGAAGTTATACTTATATATGTCTGTTTGTTACTCCTCATATGAGTACCTTTTGTGACGTCCGTACGCGACACTCAATTGACTTTGCTCATCGACTGTTTAGCAAACGATATTGTATTGACTTTTACATAAAATCCATCGTCAAAGTGGAAGTGTGAGAGCGTTAGGAATATATTACAAAAGGAAATTGCAAGTCTGTAATTTGCCTCTACCTTGTCAGATAGAAGAACACCGAATGAATTAAAATAACCATGGATTATAGTCAAACTCTTTACGCTAACTAACATTACTGGCAGAGCAAAGAATACAGCAAAGCAAGTTCAAAACACACAAAACACTTGACAAGTCGTCATGGCAAGGCAGAGAAAAGGAAATAGAATCCTGGTTACTGACGAGTTGATCAGGCTGGACCTGCTTTACAATTCCGACACGATTCTCTTCAGCTCCTCAATCTTCTTGCGCCACTCCTCCATCCTCCGCTCATGCTCCTCTCTCCCTCCCTTGTACTCCCCCTTTTCCTCCTCCTTGTCCAACTCTTCTTTCTCCCTGTTACATTCCTCCATCATCCTCTTCTCACGCTCCTTGTTCTCCTTCCTGAGCTCCTCCGTCTCCTTAATGAGCTCCTCCATCCTCTTCTCATGCTCTTCCCTCTCCTTCCTGCGCTCCTCCGTCTCCTTCCTGACCTCGTCCGTCTCCTTCCTGACCTTGTCCGTCTCCTTCCTGATCTCCTCCGTCTCCTTCCTGATCTCCTCCCTCTCCTTCCTGATCTCCTCCATCTCCTTCTGGTGCTTCTTCTCAAGCTCCTCCATCGTCTTCCTATGCTCCTCCCAATCCTTCTGGAACATCTTCTCGATGCGCTGGTGCTCCTCCTCTTCCCTGGTTTTAAGCTGGAGATTAATAATCAGTCTAAGCATTAAGCAACCGCCGTTCGACTCACCTTGGCATGAAATTTCGCAAGTTGGGATGGTAAGACGTCATTAACATTGTCTTTCACTTCTGCTGGGTTGCTCGGTGACAAGGTCTTGTATTTTGATCTTCTGTATACTACTTCCGGGACGCTTTCTTTGCAATGATCAAGGATCATTTCACGGAACTTGTAGACAAAGAAATCACAAGTATTTTCATCTGGGTTGTACCATGGGTAGCACGTAGAAATGGTTGTAGCTATGAAGATGGCCATGTAAAAGGGGGGCGGAACCTTGAATGTGATGTTCCATGTCCATTGGAGGTTCCAGTGATGATAGTTGCGAGGCAGACACATGACTCTATCTAAAGCTTTAGTCAATGGTGCGGAGGATATCGACGATGAGGTGGTGAATGACGTTGTGCTCGAACTTGGACTGATGCTTTCATATGACCGTCGTTGCTCAAAATCAGAACAAGGGTCTGGTCTTCTCCTAAAAAGTATGTCGGCTTGTGCTCCATCTCGAGTGATGGTCACCACCAAATACTCAACCTTAGTACCAATTCCTTTCCAGGCTCTAACTTGAGCAATATGGCAACCCTCGGCATGCTCCAGAGATAGATACCGCCATGATATAGTTTGCATGTAAGAAGACGAGCCGTAAAAAGAGTCCGGATCGCAAAACTCAACACCAGTGTAATCAGGAGTAGAAGGCAGTCCCAGTAGTTTCTTCGCTTGTGAAAAGAAGCGGGTGATGGTCGGGTGTTTGGAGAACATATAAATTGTGTCAATTGGTGACGGTGGTTTGAGGGCTCTAAAATAATCGACTGCCACCTCAACCGAGTCATGCACAGCCACATAAATAAAAATGGTGAGTGAGGAATTTTCTCAAAAACTGATTTATTCGTTTGTTCTAACTTTAAATCATCCGGACACTTTGTTGGATCCCACACCTTTCTAGTCTGCGCTACGAGGTCGTGGAATTTGAACCGGCTTCTGAGCCATGCGTGACTGACTGATACAACCTCCCAGGCGCATACGCTCCGCCGTTTCCTGCTGCGCCTCTCCAGCTATGCAATACACTCGTAGATACAATCCCGAATCTTGACCACATATTGTACTAAGGCCCGCACGGTGGTCTCGTCAGTGGCGCTCGTGTTTGTTTTTCCAAGAAAACTCACTTATTTTCCAGTGTATCTGCAAAATCTTTGCTTGTTGTCCCATCGACTCGGCGTCTTCTCCACCACCAGCAATGACTGCGCGGGTATAACACACCCCACAAACGCACCGAATTGAACACAGTCCGCCCTCTCCTCAAAACTCCAGCTCGTCCAACGGCATGGCGCTCGGGTACCATATCTCAGTGCATAATCGTTCTTGTCCCTCCTCGGGGTTTGATGAAGTGTGAGCTGGGGCTGCGTGCACGGCAAGACAGACGACATGCTCATCGCGGGCGTACCACGCTAGCCTGCGCACGTAAGCGGGTGTTTGGTTTTTGGCTGCTCCTTGTTTTCGTCCTCATCCTCCCCCAGCTCCCAGCTCCTCTTTCTCGTTTACGGATTCGACGACCGGCGTGTCGGACCGTGAGCCAGGCATTATGGTGGCTGTGGCTGAGGGTATGCGTCATTTGACTTTGCCGAGTTCTCCTTCACCCTCGGTGTCCTCGGGATGGTGGCAGGCGGAGCACCCACCTCGATGTCACGTCCACGTCCACATCCATGTTGACATCACCAGAGTCTGATGTGAATGATGATGGCGATATACCATGATAAAAGTGTCTTTACATCAACGTCCATAAGTATCCCGTAACAACGAGTTCGGTCTGGCCAGTAAAATTTCATTATCATCAATCAGTTACAATATTAATCACAGTCGCTGACCTGATGTGCTCTCGCCGCAAAAAAGTCTTTGCAAGTAAAAGTTACCTTCTCTTTCAGAAGTGCATCAAGGGGGAATTGAACCCCCGGCGGGTCGAGAACTGTTACTTTTTCGCAATGGCAACGACCCAGGTTACCACTACCCCATTGATGCAACGTTTCGTTCCACTGCCTCTTACCACCATACTCCGCCTGGCCGACACGGACGATGATGCGACGCGTAAATGCATCTGCACGTGTGCCGCTGGCTGTTTCATGCGTCTGACCACGAGTACGTCAGGCGGCGGCGGCTCGTTATGTACCCACAACAGCGTTGTGAGTACGGACAGCGAAGGATGTCGGATGCGTGTCGGTATCAGTCGAACCTGTTTTTCCTCCTACACGAATCTCAACATCTTTAAGACTTGTTGGTCCTCACTCAATACATCGTTGACCTTTTTCTTGATCGGTCACTTAATACATCACAGATTCAAAGAAGGGTTAATTGCAATGGTCCCATCACAAAGCTTTGAACTTGTCTACGTTAAAGGGTGCTTCAACTCGAATACAATCTTTCAAAGTTTGAAGAGTTGATTGAATTTTTGAGTCTGCAAGAAGATGTGCGGGAGGTGAAGGAAGAGGTGGAAAGCACGGCAGAAACGAGGAGCTTCAACAAAAGAAGGGTTATGCGCTCATTTTGAGCCTCTTGCAAGAGTTCATGCTGAGACTATGATATTGTCCACTTGAAGCGTCAACTCCGCTGGCTGCTCTATAGTTCTGTCTGCGTGCTCTGAGCTTCGCCAAGCACTCTTCGTTCTCTTGTGCACTGTGTCTTCCGTGACATTCGCAGCATATGTTGTGGCGCCTATTGCCAGGGCACGAATCGGAATTGCAACAACCTAGATTCCAATTTTGACATATCGTCACCGAACGTTTTCGTCTACTGCGTTTGATGCCTGCAATCGGCAGCGTCGAAGAAGCAGAGGCACAAATAAGTTGTGTGAGGAAGCGAGCTTGCAACTCGTTTTCATCCATCCTGAATGGATTCCTTGCGTATCTATCGCGTGTGTGACAGTCGAGACGAATCGGAATTGCAGCAGCATCAGGTAGCAAACGAAATAAATCAATGACCATCCCTCTGTAGGATACAAGCTCAGCTTCCCGATGCGGGTAAAAGGTAAGCACGGCAACCATCCACGCATCAAACGCGCGTGTCCAGTCAGATTCAGAAAGAATCGGTCGCTTAACAGTAGCATGGTCTTTCTTGACAAATGAAGAGCCTCCTGCAAAATCTTTAGGCCTGTCATAATGGTTGTAACCTTTGTAGAGCGTTGCATAAAGTTCTTCGAAATCGACGTAGTCGTCAAGAATGACTAATTTCCAAATAGCTCGTGGAATCGGATCGTGAACTCGCTGTAACTGACCCAAATTGACCAGAGAATCGATGACTTTCCCTTTCCTATACACTTGTCGTAGCTTCCAAGTTTTAGCCAAGTATGGGTCAGCAGCTGCATTAGCCTGCAGCTGAACCAAATGTGGCGCGGCAGCCAGAACTGACTGAGGAATCGGAAAAATATCTGATGTATCTCTGATGTCTCCCAGCAGCTCAACAGTTTGGCTAAGAGGGAGCGTAGACGTGGGACCAACTAGAGCTAATGCCTGACCAAGCTGAGAGCGCGAGGACGCACAAGCCGCAGCTTCGACGGCGTTGGCATGAGAGTCGGACGTACCGGGCTCTGCAATCCTATCGGAACAGGCAGAGCTACGTTTACGCGAGGCAGCTAGTTGATCCGCATGAAGGCCTTCACGTTTATCGAACCGAGATGGAGCTGGTTGAGCTTGTGATTTTGCGCGGCGAAGGTCAAGGCTACGCTGGACACCTGCATCGAAGTAACATTCTGCTTCGGTCGCGTTAAGACCCAGGTCTTTGATGCCTTGTGTAAAACTATCGTAAGATCTTGCCCCCTCGACTGTTTCATCCACGAGTTTTAGACAGGCTTCATGACGAATTCGAGTCTTCTCGAATTTAGCATCGACTGAAACATCACTTTGACGTGGACATGCCTGAAGCGTAAGGGATTCTGAAGTAGTAGCAACTCTGTTCTCTCTGGACATAGATATTATAGATGGCGAGGGCATTGAGCAAGAAATAAGCGAAAAATAATACAAAGAAGACTAAGAAAGGAGTGAGTGGTGTGCGAAGCCGCGACGCCCTGTTCGCGTGCTTACAATGTAGTTTTTTCGGGCTTGTATAAAACTTTTTGCACAGCCCGAAAAAGTCTATACTATGGTGAGAGCTGAGCCATGCTCTTCAGTGGCTTGCAAGTGACTGACCTCGCCGTAGAGCAGGACAAATGATCAATAAAATTAGACGACACCGGTGACGCTGCTCTAGCGGCTTAAAGTGGTGATGAGATAAAACTAAATGTGCGAGAGAGCGCATATGCACTCACCTATGCTGCTGGTGCGAGATGGGGCAGTGAGATGAAGCTGAAGAAGCAGCGCAGGTCATGTCTCAGACCAACAGACTTACTGTCTCGGCACGACATCCGCGAGCGCTCTGATCAGAGGCCGTTCTCGGCATGGTGCCGGAATACGAATATAAGGCACGGGATACAAACTCCGCGTAGAACCATAAAGTCACGAGGACATGACAGCCTCAATTTCGCCAAGACACAAATATTGCTTTTTCTCAAAACCACATATAGCCTCTGGACACAACAGCCCTCCTAAGTAACGGTCAAATTTGTCTGCGCAAACACCACATCGCTTGTTCCAACTTTTACAGCAAAAACTCCTGGTTCAACGACCCACTTATTTTGCACACCCCACACCGCAAGCTGCGAAGACAAAACGGGTATCATGACAGTTTTTGATTCTCCAGCTCTGTATCCACATCAGGTTAGGAAGACTTATTGAGAAGGAATGGAGAACGTACGGGATTTCGACTTTTTGAAAGCCAACGAGTTCTTGATTAGGTGTGACAGTAGAGGAGACGAGGTCGGTGATGTATACCTACGCAGACTGCATTAGCGAGAACATCAGAATCTTTCCATAAGATTTAGCGAACCTGCACGACTTCCTTTCCGGCAACAGACCCAGTGTTGTGCACAGTAACACTGACGTTGAAATCTTCCGATTGTTTGATCGTCGATGTAGACAGCGTAAGATCGGTACTGTATCGCAGATCAGCAAAGTAACACAAAACCTCAAAGAAGACATGTATTCACTAGTTGAAAGTGGTATAACTCAAGCCATGTCCGAAGCTCCACAGCGGAATCGGGCTATCAAGTACATACTATTTCCAATTCACTATTATCCCGACATCAAAGATCATAGATGGCAGAACACGCACCTGATGACCGAATTCGAGAGTACCGTCATCAAGGACAAATCCAGGGTCAAGAGGTCTACTCCCCTTGAGGTAGTTGTAGAACGCGGGCGTCGTACCAACGCTTCGGGGAAACGAAACAGGGAGCTTTCCTGTCCTCCCAAGATTACCAATAAGAATGTACCGATGTCAACGGACTTACCGGAGGGATTGACGGCACCAAAGATAACCTCCGCGATCGCAAGTCCTGTAAAAAAAAGGGATCGGTTTCAACAAATAGAAACACGCCCTGCATCAAATCCAACAGTCATTTGGTACTCACCACCCATCTCACCAGGATAGAACTGTTGAACCACAGCATCCACATCTAACGCAATTCACACACACGTCAGTTTGCTATCAGTCCCCCAAACAAAAAGAACAACACTCACGTGCCTGTATCCATGGTTCTGCGACTGGCTTCCCACTCACAAACACAACGACAGTCGGCTTCCCGGCCTCCTTCACAGCCTGCACGAGCGCGAGCTGCGCACCGACAAGTCTGAGATCCGAGAGGTCGACGTGCTCGCCTGTTGTCGCGTTCGTTCCTGGCGCCCACAGGTTCGTTTGATCGAGAGACCAGGTGCCTACCTGGTATCCAGCATGTTTATTTAGTATAGTAGGACAGAGGAGAAGGAGGAGGAAGGAAGAGCACCATACGCACCATAACAACAGCAACATCCGAGTTCCTGGCAGCTTCAACGGCATCCTGGATTCCCGACTCATCATTCGACCACAATTCACACCCCTGCGCAAAGTTGATCTTCGTCGCGCTTGATACGTTAGCGAGATGTTGCTTGAACCCCGCGAGCGGCGTAATACCCTTCTTTGATGCGTTCAGGAAGACGTAGTCGCCGAACTGAGTCCCGGCCAATTATGTGTTAGTGGGAAAAGGGGGGCTTGAGCTCGAAATAGAAACGCACGGTGACGCGGTCAACTTGGGGACCGATAAGAGCTATGGCGCTCAAGTTAGTGCTAAGCGGGAGCGTGCTCCCCCTGTTTTCGAGGAGGACAATACTCTCAGTGTCTGCAGTGTGGAGGATTTCTTTGGATTTGGGGGTGCGGATGGAGGAGAGGTAGTCTTCGTAAGGGTAAGGATCTATCACAATCAGACACTAAGGACAGTAAACGAACTGCGGGAAATGCAAGTACGTACTCTCAAACAATCCAAGAGCAAACTTTGCTCGGAGGATGCCTTTGACAGCACCGTCAATTGAGTCCATGCTCACCGTTCCGGCCCGAACTTGATCTAAGGGAACGTTCAGAAAACTGTGTCAAAACAGATGAGGTTCTTTACCTGGGAGAGTGAGAAAGGTGTACGTTCCTGTGGAATTAGTATTGAATGAGAAGCAAACAGGGGTGGCGACACGGAGCCTTACCACCACCCATTTCTCCGCTCAAGTTGTCCACCGTGACCTTGGCTGCGCATTCCCGCGTCTCGCATGTCCCATGCAGCGTGATGAGAAGATCTACGGATCCCGCATCCGTGGTTACCCAGTACTTGTATCCCCACTCGTTCCTCAACTATTGAGGGTATCCATTACTGGAAGAACCCATTGGAGATATCGAAAAATGGACTCACAATATCGGTGAGTAGATCTAGAGACGGATCATAGGTGTAAGATATCGACGGACCGTAAGGATGTGTAAAATTACTTACGAGTATTGGCGATAGCGGGGATACCATCATAGCTAGCATATGCTGTCATGATTGACAGGCTGTCAATGCATGCACGGTTAAACGGCTTGAGATACATAGTGCGTAATTCTCGCTCGCCACCAGACACCTGTGCCAAATTGCTGTA